TAATTGTCTAATAATAAATAGTTGATTAGAAATATGATTCAAAAATTATAATATATGTATAGTTCTCTAGATATGTTATTTTTTTAATTGACAAATTTTCATTTTTATTCGCTTTGGAACTGATTTATCTAGAGTGACATAAGAGTATGTAGATGTGGCGGCTTGGTGTTGGAGGAGCGTTGTCCACGATATGAAGAATTTTGATGACGGAAAAAAGATGTTGGCCGCGGTGGGATTCGAACCTAGGTCCTCAGGTGTATGAGTCTCGAGCGCTACCACTGCGCCATGCGGGCCACGGTTCTTTTTCGTGTATGTTTCTGCTAGGTATTAGTTGTGTGAGCGGGGGACCGGGGGGCACATAGATAAGATTGAATAAAAGAATAATATCTTTGTTCTCTGATAAAATGAAAAATAGAACTTACCTGCAAAGTATAGACACAAACATGAGTTACACTCCGAAATTATTACAAATTGTCAAACTCGCCGCGAACGTCAACATCGTTGGCCACCACTCGGACGCAGAAAAAGAATAATAGTAGTATGCAATTTATTAATACTGCTAATGTTTCCTTTTTAATTTTAATATACGCGTATTTATTATTATATTGATACCCGAGAGGTCTAACCAAAAACACTACCGTGTTTACATCAATCAATTTTATCGACCCAGCGGATAAATCAGGCCGATAAATCAGGGTCACTGCAGGACCCAGCGAACATTGATTCGCTAGATTCTACAATAACCCTGACTTCAGTCTGATAATCCGCTGGGTCGATAAGATTAATAATGACATTTCGTGACAGACGTTGCAGCCGTACAAAGGACGATGACGTTTCTTAAAGTAAAAATTTCCAAATCGGACTTTGTGTAGCAATATCTCTGCTTGTAGGGCACGTAGCAGAAAAATAAAAATATTTTTATTGTGCAAGTCGGACTCAAGCTATCGATCAAGCCTACTTAGAACTTGATCAGTATAGCCGTTATTGAGATTCGATAATTTCAGATGCTCGAACCTCGACGACTCGCGTAAAGTCACACAACAGTGTTCTCGGTTGACTTGACACCCGAGACACTACCGTGTCTCCTGATCTATAAAAGATCTGCACAATTAAGCACATAATAACGAAATTAGATACAATAAAAAATTTCATTGTCAGTACGTCACTTAATATTATAATAAAATTACCTTTTTAAAAAAGTTAAAGAAAGGGTGTCAAGTATAGGGGCACATTTGAAGGAAGAACTGTTGTACCAAATTAAAGAATAAAATCTAACTGACAATATCTTTTATTTTAAAAAAATAGAACCTATAAGATCTTTGCATACAAGAGTTTTTGTACTTTAAATCATATATTACATCATAAAATTATATCATTTTACTGACGTTCAAATAATGTGTGATACTCAACCCAAATAATATATATTATTTGTATTCGTAAAGATTTGATAGTGGCGCCAAGTTA